TCAACATCAGAGACAATGTCAAATCTTCATCGTCGAGACCACTTTTCCATGGGCAAGTGTGGATCGATAGAAGAGACAAGTCAACATCAAATTCAACTGGCTCATCAAGCGCCTGCCACACTCCGGAGGCCTCGATGGGCGCAAGGACACCGGTGGGAACCCCACGACGGAGTGTCACAGGAAGTGCATGGTCTACATCGCCTGACAAGACGCAAAGGCCGTCCCAGCAGTCAAGTAGAAATGGCTGGTAAGGCTCAACCCGCAACGAGCCCGGCACAGCCGCAGACCGAAGAAAGGACACAAGTTCCTCGCGAAGCCGTAGCAGCTCGGGCGGAGAAAACAAAGACTCGGCAGACTTAGCCAGGCAGTGAGCCTGAAGACGTGGCACTAGTTTCCATTCGTCGCACAAAGATGCAAAGCGATCCCGCAAGGGACGATACACATCCACTTCAGCACGTGGAACAAGCCAATCAGCTGAAGACCCTAGGCCGCCGCCATCAGCAATCGGCAGGTGCCAAGCTGGGGAAGTGCCAGAGCCCGACGAATCCAGCCGGCTAAATCGAACCGGCGAGCACTGAGTAGGTGGACCTTTACTGGGAGTCATACGAGGTCCAGTGTCCAGAACCGGAACAACGGTAGCAACTGTTTGCTGAGACTCAACGGGCACGCAGGCTGCACCTGCACTCACCGAACCAGAAGCACAAAAACTACTAGAGACACTGGCATGCATATCGCAGCGAGGGTCCGAATGCGATTCACACGAAGGCAAGCCCTCAAGACCACCCCTGCCACCGCATGGGCGAGGGGAACAGTCTATCACATGCTGCCAAACAGAATCACACGACCCCTCCAGCGCTGCAACTTCCGATAGTCATGCTTTGCAATCGGCAGCACCATGATCCGACGCGCCGCACTTGTCGCAGCGATGCCAAAACCTGCAATCCTTTTCGGACTTGGTGCACTTCCCTTCCTGAAAGCCGTAGCACAGGCCTTTCTTATACCGTTTACGGCCTTCGGCTGATTCACGTCCACCTTTGGTGCGTTTTCCAGTGGCCAGCTTGCCAGTAGTCTCATGAGGCAACTGAGGCACGCCGCCGTTTGGAGCTTTCAAGGGCTTAGGCTGCGCCATCAACTTAGTCCGCAACAAGTCCTCGCGCACAACAGACTGAATGGCGTCATCAAGTGACACGTCATCATGATAGGCCATCCGAAAGATTTCGGAGAGACACTCCCTATCAGCCTCTTCGGCTTCGGCCGGAGTGGGGGGGCGCATGCCGGCACCAGGACGCTTTGTGTAGTAAAACATGAACTTATGGACATAAGCCATCCAAGAGTTCAAATGCCCCCCAGAAGCCATGGCGTAGGCATTGGCTCGGACAGACAGAAGCGTCGAAATCTTGTGAGGAGAGCCAGACATTTCTTGGTCCCATTCTTCTCCGCACAAACCTGCTGCTTCTGCCACGATCTCGGACATGTCACGGCGTTTGTGCGAGCGACGAGATTGCACATCCAACGACAGCTCTTCGGAGAGGATCCGTTGCCAAGGGATCCAAGCCCAGGACTTGGCTTTGCACTGAGAAGAAACAATCTGCAACAGGCTTAACGCGGGCAGCAGGCTTGGACACAAGGCAACGCCGGTAAACTTCTTCTCGAACTTCTTCACCAAGCCCTCGCGATCTGCCTCACTCAAGCGCGTAGAACTGGAGTGCACACCAGACACATCACCGAACAACGAAAGAGACAGCGGGTGTCCTGTGTCAGTAGCAGGGCTTACTGTGGGAGGCACAACACAGGCGGCGGTCTGGCATTTCTTCCACACAAGGCGCAGTTTGCCGGCAATTGGGTGGGTGAGCCAGTCGTCCTGGTCGATCGCAACGGTCTCCTCGCCCAGCTTCTCACGAGCCGGACCCAGCCAGGACTCAAAGGCTTGTACATCCACAAAGCAACTCCCGAAGAGTTCCGGCTCGTCGTACCCCAGCTGGATCAAGGAATCAGCTACTGAGGGCGGAAGCTTGCATTTGTCGCAGAGAGCTTTCAACGCCATCCTCTGAGCAATCGCAACAAAGAGCCAACGGCAAGCGCAATCAAACTAACAGCAGCGGCCAGCACCCGCAGATGTGAACCAAGCTGTATACACGAGGCCATAGGCAAACACAGTCCCACAGCCAATGTCAGACAAGAAAGTCTAACTGGGTACAGTGTGCGCCGGTACTAACAGGAGCTGCAGCCAGCATGATCACAAATCGGAAACAGAAAGAACTGACCAAATATCGCACCTGAGCAAAACACGCAAGTTTAGACTGGCCAGCATCCCATTCAACCGGCACACATGGCTTCTTCCAAGCCATACCAGCACAACCCGCTCGCAGCGGGACAAGTCCAAAAAAGGACAAGTTCCCCACAGGAACTAGCACAAACACGCACGCAGCGTGATACGACACAATGCACAAATATGCACAAAATTCCCCGCAGGGAAAGGAAGTCCCGCGAGACTATCAAGAAAGCCAAGCACACGGCGAGGCACAAGAGCTCACAGAACTCAAAAGGTCGCAGTTTTAAACTTAAATGTAAGGAAAGATCCCCGCCTGAAAAAGCACAGCAATCAACAAAGGACATAATGGAAAGAGAATTAACTCCCAGCCTGAAAAAACAAACGCATTAAGAAGATGAAAGTGAAGTGAGCATGACAGCACCGCAGCCGAAGTCTCACTGACCAGGGCAACTTGAGCCCTCCATCTCAGGCACCGCTGCAACAGCCTGAATGTCTGCAGGAGGTAAATCCTTGAAAGCAAGGGTTGGACTCACGCAGCTCATACCCGTCATGTAGTGCGGCCTGTGGACGGCACGCCAGTCTGTGCTCTGACTCTGACCCCGGCCCAAGAAGGCAGGCTTTGTGCGAAATGCCCGAGCGCACATTAAGAAGCCACGGCCCCACAAATACACCAGGTTGCATATCATCAACACCGCAATCCGAGGCATCAAACTCCTCATCGCTGGAAAAAGAGGAGGACGCGTCGCTCTGAGAACTCTCAGAATCCGTGTCAGCCATATCATCAGCTGGAGCTGCAGGTGGCGGGGCACGGAGTTGAAGTTCCAACTCATGGACACCGCGAGCAAGTGGGATCTTTGGCATCCATCCTTCATCCAACGCCACAAGGAGACGCTCTTGACAACGCAATTGCGGGACCACGTCGTCGCGTCCATATTTCGGCACACACCGGCTGATGCCCGGGGCCGGGCACCGGTGATGCCCTTGTGCTGCTTTGTCAGCATCCGCAACTCCTCCGAGTTGCTGACTCCACGCCAAAAGGGTTGTTTTAAGGGAATGAAGTGTAAATAAACCAGCAGAGGTCCTATCCAAACCTCCATAACTAATGAGACAACGACGGAAATGAGAAAGGCAGCATGTGTAAGTCATCGGCCGCCCGTTTGACGCGAGCAGGTAGTCACGTGCTGGATAACGAGACCGAAGCGCTTCGATCCCCTTGAAGAACAAGCCACCCCAATCACAGTCAAGGCAGCCACGGCGGTAGAAACCCCAAAATAGGCCGCGGGGGCTTAATTTGGAACGCCAACAGTGCCCCTTCACTGCCTCGCCATCACACACGATGGACTGCAAGTCAACCCTCTGTGCGTCAGAAAACCTTAAACCGCCCCAAACCATGAAAAGAAAGGCAGCCAGCAGCGTGGCATCGCTATCGTCAAGCGAAAGTAAGGCGGACTCGAGACGATGCAACACAGGCAGGGGCAAGGGAATAGCCTCCTTGACGGGAGGCAATGACCATTTCCCGTGAGCTTTCCACGCCTGAATTAAAGGTGATGACAGGCCAGCCGCAAGCACGGTAAGTTGGAACTTGAACGCAGCAAAGGCCAAGGCACTGAGGCAGGACACAGCAGAGCGCCTGCGACCGTGGCCACGATTGGACCTACAACCTTCAACTAAGCTAACCATAAAATCTAGAAGCTCATCCATTGAAGGAGAGCCTGCAGCTAAACCCTGCGAGGTGCAGTACTCAAGCCACAAACGCCAACCGCCCAAATGACCTGCAAGCGTCGACGGAGCCCTGTCCAGGAACAGAGGCAGAAGGGCTTCATCACTGGCAGACTCCAGCGTGGAGCGCATTTCACTGGCACAGGCAACTCCTTTAGCGAAACCTAACCAGATGAAAGCGAGCCTACGACGTTCGTCGCACTCCATAGCTTTAAGAGAACCAGACCCTGAAATGCAGTCAATCGACTTGGCAGCCTCAGCTGGGCCCGCGCGCACGGGCTTGACCGGCACCGCCGGCACCAGTGCCGAAGACTCGCAGCATGCTGCAGGCGCTGCATTAGCGAGCGCTAAAGCCGGCTTGGCAATGACTGGCCGTGTCCGAAGCGTCACGGCTGGTCGAGGCAGTCCTGCATCAGTGTCAGGAAGTTGTGGAGTATAACGCACCTTTTTCTTTGGCCGCAGCATAACAACAAGAAGCAGACAAGCAAGACACAACCAGCCAGCGCTTTTGCAGGCGAAACCTGCAATACCCCACAAAGGGCCACGCCCTCCACAAATCGAAAGGCTGTGAGCCGACACTACAAGACGCGGGATGACGCGGGGCCGTGGTATGGGAAGTGTTCGGGGCATGCACGGGGCGCGCAGGCCTACCCTAGGCAGTAAAGCTTTTAGCGATTCAGTAGGCAGAACGGCGAGATGCATGGCTCACACGACACTTCATGTCAGGTATGTCAAGGCACGGGTGCTCTGCGAGACGACGCGGGCTGCTGCGGTATCTCCTGTGAGGACACCACGGGCACGGTCAAAGCAAACGTGCAGAGTGATTGAAGGCTGGTGGCATCTATAATCTAGAGGCAGTACTCCAAAAGCGGCTTTCAAGCTCTTCCTGCAAGGCGCCCGGCAGCACAGCATCGTGGGAGCTCGAAGCCCTGCAGACAGCATTCTGCTACTTTTCGCGGTCCCACTTCCGACCACCTGCCACTGCAAGTGAACCGCCCGAACTGCTGGCCTCGCAGAGCAAGGTGAGCATTGGCTGGATTCCGAGACGTCCCATAGCTCCTCCTATAGGCACGTCATGCAATTTCACACCATGCATGCCGTCAACGTAAAAGTTTCGCCTCAAGTACGAGAGGGAGATCCAACGCGAAGATGTGATTTTTTTAATGTTCGACGTACGGCGACAGAGGACAGAGTGATACAGAGTGTCTCATCCGTCGGGGTTGGAGTATGTTGGAGTCCTTCTTGGCCACCTCGTGGACCTGCGCCTGCGGCGTCAGCTAACTCCACAAGGACGAAATAACCGATGTCGGATCCTGCTTTGCGGCGCGCCTTGGGTTCGTGGAGCTCGGTTTGCAGGCTCAGCAGGGCGATGTGCTGCTCCCTCACATGGGCCTGAGCCCGTGCCAGCCCCGGGATAGGCACGGGAAAAATGGGCCATGGATCAGCAACATTCAGCAACCCAATGCGTCCTTCTGGTGATATAATTATACTTCATCGTGTCACAGAAATTTCTTTGCGTGTCATGCGATTCGTGTCCGTTTTGAAGGGGCGCCTGAAGGCTGGCGACTGCCTCTTGCAGCTCCGCCACCTTGGCCTCGCACAAGACTCCCCGTGATTGCGCCCCGTTGCGAGAAGAGCATTCTCCCCGCCTGGTTGCAAGCCAACTCCTGTGAGCACTCCTGCACGGGCGATACTCTCAACTCATGCAATCCGGGAGTGCACGAAACTACACGAGAGCGCATTACAAATTATTGCAAAAAGTCCGCCAGCAAAGGAGTCAAACTGCCAACTTCCATACATGTGACGCGCATGCTGCTAAACGCAGCAGTTTCTCCTCAAAAGCGGCTGCTGCGCGTGCGAGATCTTGCTGCAGCTGGGCCTCAACCGTGACAGCTCCGAACGGAGCAGCCAACAAAGCAAGGGTCTGCTACGAGTACCACAACATGACATCGATCAAAGTTCAAAGGCCTTCTCGGCTGCCCAACAGCTCTCTTGAGCAGCTGCCTTGTCCTGAGCATCTGCCTCCCACACGCATGCACACATGAGGTGCAGGTTGCAATTCTGGTGCATCCGCGTTGACGCGCGCCCACGCGCGCCTCAAGCCGCATGACTGCTTCTTTGAGCTCCGTCACGTCGGCCTCCCACACGAGTCTCCTGTTCATGAAGTCCTGCTACAAGCGTCCCACGGCCGCCTGGTTGCGAGCCAGCTCCTGCAAGCACTCCACAGTGGGCCACATACAATTCACTCTTGGGGGACTTTGGGCGTGGCAGACAGAATCCAGGAGCAGGCAGAGCCTCGCAAGAGCCCTATACACACCAATCAGCTTCTGCTAAATGCCGACTGGTTGTTCAGCTTCTATGCTTTGAAAGCCTGGGTGCGCGATGCGTGCGCGTGCCTTGTGCCAAGGCTGGCTGCTGCTTCACACCTATCAGCTCTTGCTTGCTAAAACGCTGACGTCGCTCCTGAAAAATCGCTGCTGCACTTGCCAGCTCTCTCTGCAGCTCGGCCTCAAACGCAGCAGTACAGAACAGAGAAATCACCAGAGCCAGGCGCAACCACAAAATCACATGGATCAACGGCCTTCTCGGCTACCCAGCAGCTCTCTTGAGCAGCTGTCTTGTCCTGAGCGCCTGCCTCCCACACACAGGAGCCAAGTAGAGGTGCATGACTTTCATGCGTCTAATTACTTCGGGGCATGCGCGCCTCAAGCCTAGCGACTGCTTCTTGGAGTTCTGCCACTGCGGCCTGTCAGGTTTCCCATTAATGAAGTCCTGCTACAAACGTCCCATGGCTGCCTGGCTGCCAGCCAACTGCTGCAAGTACTCCTCCACGGACCACATACGGTTCGCTGGTGCTTTGAGGACTGTGGGCGTGGCAGATAAAACCCGGGAGGGGGCGGAGCCTTGCAAAAGCCCTGAGCCTGAGACTGTAGTCGAAGACAGGCGTACTCGCTATTCAGCTTCTACTTTATTCTGGGAGTGTGATGCGTGCACAGGCCCTGTGTAGGATTGCCTGCTACCATCTGCTACGTCACACAGTAGGCTTTCCGGGATAGCGAAAGGAACTTCTAACTTGTCTTGGGGTTGGCACCTTAGTGTACATCCCCTGCCGACAAACCTGCGCAGCCCTCTGCCCCACAAAACTGGTCACAGACAAAGTGGTTGGGCGGCGGGTTTGTGTAGGAGCCTGGGGTGGGCTGTGTGCTGAGCGGAAGTGCTCATGTAGGATTGACGGCGAGTTCGGATCGGACTTGTTGACCACAAGACAGGAAAAGAAGTTGAAAATAAAGCAAGTTCTTCAGGGTACCCCCCCCCCCTCCCCCCCCCATCCACCAGGAAATTTTAACAGACCCCCCTGATGGGCGAGATGCGTGTGCGGGCCCTGTGCCAGGATTGGCTGCTACGTCAGAGGGCTCAGCTTTTGCAAAACGCACAAATTGCTCCTGAGAAGCCGCCGTGGTGCTTGCAAGCTCTCGCTGCAGCTCAGCCTCACAAGTAACAAAGAAACAGCAAGTGACAGAGCGGTCACGTCGCCACTGCCAGGAACTGCCACAACATTGCGATCTAGACAGGGCCTTCTCCGCCGCCCAGCACCTGGCCTCCACCTCGTCCAGAAGTCGTGCGTCCCACACGCAAGGTGCCAAGCAGGGCTGCAGATTGCAACTTTGATGCGTCAGCGTTGACGTGCGCGCCTCGAGCCTGGCCACTGCTTCTTTGAGCTCGGCCACCTCGGCCTGCCAGGAGTCTCACATTGATGGAGTCCTGCTGCAAGCAAGCTTCCTCTTTTTGCCCTGCCCCCAAACCGCTGCCTGGTTCCGAGCCAGCTCCTGCGCCGAGTCCTCCAAAAGATACACACACAGTGCACTCGACTTCTGGCGTGGTGGATCCAATCATACGCAATCCCGGAGTGGACAAAAACCACGCAAGAATACTTCTCCACAAAGAAGGGTCGTGGGCCAGCTTCTGCGCATTAGTATGCATGCTCGGGCCCTGTGCAGTTTGCGAGCTTGCTGCTGATTCACGCATTTCACACCAATGCTAAGCCCGGGGTCACTCCTGAGAAGCCGCTGCTAAGCTGGCGAGCTCATGCTGCAGCTGGGCCTCCAACAGCGAGAGTGCACAACAGAGCGGTCACCGTCAGGCGCCAGAACACTTATCCCGTTGATCAGAGAGGCCTTCTCTGCCGCCCAACAGCTTTCTTTTGCAGCTGTCTTGTCCAAATCCTTTGCCTCCGACATGCAAGCGCTACAAGTAAGCAGGGTGCAGCTTGCAGACTTGACGGGTCCCGCTTTTTGACGCGCCTCGAGCCTGGCGACTGCTTCTTTGAGCTGCGCCATGTCGGCCTCCCACATGAGTCTCCGGGTTGATGAAGCCCCTGCTGTCAACGCCACCCCGCCTGGTTGCGAGCCAACTCTCGCAAGTACTCCTCCACAGGCCAGACTTTGGGGACTTTGGGCGTGGCAGATGGGAGCGGACAAGGCCACGCACGAGCCCTATAATAGGCCCTGTAAGACTCTCTGCAAGACAAACAATCTCGTGGGCCAGCTTGTACTTTCCCTCGGAACTGTCGGTCATGCTGTGCACACCTACGTCACACCAAGCGGCTACTGTTCATGTCCAGGGTCACTCCTGAGAAGCCGCCGCTGCGCTTGCAAGTTCCTGCTGCAGCTCGGCCTCAAGCATGGGAGTACGCAACAGAGCCGTCAACAGCGCCACGCGAGTTGCCGCAACACGGATCAGAGGCCTTCTCCTCTGATGCCTTGTCCAGGGCGCGTGCCTCCCACATGCAGGCACCATAATAAGTAAGTAGAGGTGCGGGTGGCTCGGACAGTAAGACGCGGACCAGGGCTGCTTGGAACTCACTCTTGAGGGCTGCCACATACTCATCACTGGGCTTGGTCAAAGGAACCTGCATGTTGGGGAAGCAATTCGCAGAGGCCAGCATACTCCAACGACCCGCCTCCGCTTTGGATGGTACTTCAAATTTGCGGGCCTCCTGACCCAGCCGTTTGTAGTGTTCAGGGTTTAGGGTTTATAGGGTTTGTATGGGGTTGAGGGTTGAGGGTTGAGGACTGGTTCAGGGTTTGCATGTCGCGGGCCTCCCCTCCCAGAAGCATCGGCAAGGGAGGCCTCGGCACATCCACTGCAATGCTTTTAAAAGCCTGGGGCCTTGCGGTCGAGCCTCTACACAATTGCACAGCAGTGTACACATCCGTGTTGCCTGTACATTTTAACAGCACAGAAGGAGGGCAGTATGCACAGCAAGCAACAGCAAGCACAACCAACAATAACACCAGCAACAAAGCGAGCGCAGAGGCTGTAGCAACAACACAGTACTTCGGAGGCCTGCATGTCAAGATACTGCAAATGCTCTCGGCTTGGGAGACCCCTGAAGTTGAACAAACTTTGGCACTAGTCACTAGGGACCCCTAATGTTTCGCCATTCTCTTCTGCCCTCCCCCAGAGCCGTATACCACCACAGGCCACAAACGCTGGCCTCGTCCGCCCACGACACTTTTTTTCCTGCAGGCCTGGGCCCGCGGCGCATCCGCCGGTCCGGGCTTGCCTTGACCACCCTCTGGGCCTTCACTTTCAAGGCTGTGATATGGCTGCGAGGCTCCCAACCTCTCCAAGCCAAAAACGGGCCCGGATGGGCCCGGCTAAGCTCCCGACCTTCATCGGGGTCAGGGTGGCCAGGCTGGCAGCCTCAGCTCTAGTTCCGGCCAAAAACGGCATCATGAGGCTCCGCTCTTGCAAGGCTCCAAGAGCGCAGCCCTTGTTCCATCATGGCCTTTGGCCTGAGAGCGCGCGAAAGTTCACGCAACACACATGAGCTGGCGCGTCATGGGCCGGGATGGGCCCAGGAAGGCCCCGGCGGGTCGCGGCGTCACAAACGGTGACCTTTCCTGGCCCAAGCCCCCAGCGCAAGTCACTCAGTCAGGACCCCAAGCACGATATAGTCGTCACTGTAGATGCTTCTCGATGCAAGACATGTCTTGGTAGCCGCATCGCCGCAGAACCGAGTGACCTTGGTCCAGTTGGCGGGTTCCAAGTCAAATTCTCTGTGACTGCCTTGAAACACATGCCTTGAAACGCGGGCGGGCCGCACTCTTGAACCGTGGCGGCGTCTGCGACCGCAGACGTATGGTGGGCCTCGTGTTTGGAGACCGTGAGATGGGAAGGACTGCAGGCTGCGCAACAGGCTGCGCAACAGGCTGCGCAAGGTGCCCGTCTCAGTCTCGCACAACGAGCGGACCGGACCTCAGCCATGCGTGAGATGAAGCAGGGGATGTCTGGAGTACGTACAGCGCCATAGCACAAACGGCCGTGCGGCACGAGGCTGTCGAGCTCCGGGTTTCCGACCGACGGTTCGTGACACCTTGTTCTATAGGCAGAATATAGCAGTGGGAGCTGCCAGGCGGATCACTCAAACCAAAGTGTCAGACATGTTTCAGGTCCTAGAAAATCTTGAATGGCACCGTGCACATGCTCGCCGAACTCCTGCCGAGCCGCCACCACCGGCTGCGCTGCCCCGGGCAAGGCAGCTCTGAAATGCGCCATGACCACCGCAAACAAGCTTCGTTACTGCTTCGTTGACGCACCACCAGCCCCCGAAGCCCATGCTATAGCAACCGTAGCAAGATGTAGCAAGAAGACTGCGCATGCGCAAGTTGATCTTCTTCGCTGTGGTGAGGTGCGCGGCGAGGTCAGGATATACGTCAGGTCACAAGCTGCGAGCAGGCGAAGAGCGCCTACGGGCCTACGGGCCTACGGGCCTACGGGCCTACGGGCCTATACGGGCCTAGGGCCGACGGGGGGCGGGGGGTGTCTTCAAGGGCAAGAGGGTCAACGCTACATGTTCGAAAAGCCTTGCCGCTACTGTACACCGGGATGGCACAGGCACGCGCGGACTTTGGAATCAGTTGGGGAACCTAAAATGCCCGTCGCAGGGCCTGAGAGACCCGTGAGGCGCCGATCCCGGCAAGCACTTAACAGCCAAAACAAGATCAAATCTCATGGGACTCTTCTGGTGTTGGTGGCGATGCCCTGAAACTACGAGCGAAACTCCGCGAAACTCTATGACTTGCCCAAACCTCCACTGAGAAAGAACCTGGGCTGCAACGATGCGTCTTTTTTGCGGCTCGCAGCTTGCCGCTCGGAGGCCACGCGCTCTGCAAGGCCTGGGGGCGGGAAATGCATGTCACAGCAATGCATTGCATCACGGCGCATGTCTTCGACTCCTGGTGCTGTGCAATCCTTGCTGCTTAGCGGCAATCCGCGGTGCCGGTAAAGGTGCCTCCCAAGTGTGCAAAGAAAGGAATGGCTTGGATGTCATGAAGTGTGACGTGGATCGGGGCGGCGCCCCAAATGCTTTACGCGCCCTGCGAGGCGATTGCCGAAGCGCCTCCTCCACGTTGGAGTCGCCGAGGTGTGGCGGCACGCTGCCGGCGCGTGAATCAGGCAGCTGCCTTGCATGAGCAGTTTCTGCATCGAGCACATCTGGACACAGCAAATACGACAATGGGGACACTCCGGGAGTTGGGCTCCAGGTTGGGCACTCCAGGGAGAGTCTGGAGCTGGGCACTCCGGGGACACTGAGGTTGGGCACTCCAGGGAGGCTCTGGAGCTGGGTAATTCGGAGAATCTTGGGACCGAGGAGTAAACGGGCGAGGAGAAGAGTTCCGGGCGAGGAGAAGAGTTGAGTTTGAAAATCTAACAACCCCACACCGAGGGTGGGGAAAAACTTGAACAACCTGAGCGGGCTTCATTTGACCACCACTTTCGGACTCTGCGCGCTTTTCTTAGCAGCTCCTATACCCCCCCATTGGCCCCCCCAAACAACCTCAAGACTGATCCAGAAAGCACCCTAGCTCATTCGCTGCTAGCAAGGACCACGGACAAAGTGAAGTTCTCTAGTCTCTAGGGAGCATGTGGACCCGGTGACGAGAACCAAAAAGATCGGGCAAAACTCGCCAGCGTGCCCAAATCAAATCAAGATTCTTCTGGCTTTCCTTGAGAGCTTTTATCCTTCGAGTTGAAAGATGTTGCTCGACTTCTTCAGGTATAGAGACGCCCCGTCCCCCGAGAATCACACAATATCACACAAACAACAAGCACCAAGTCTGCTAAGTGGCCAGGACATCGCGTGCCCAGGCGAAGGGCAGGCACTGCTGCATGTTCTGGGCAAATTTTGTGAGCTGGTCCTTGGCGCGGCCGCATGAGCATGTGCACTGCGTTCGACAAGCCTGCTCAAAAGACAAAGCACGGCTTGATCTCTCCATGCGCTGGGTGGAGAGGGGGGTCGGGGGGGGCGAGGGGGCGTTGCTAAGCCGAGGTGCTGCACGGTCAGGGATTTTGCCATACCGCTCAATGTATTTCCGCAACATGTCCTGCCGAAACTGGAGACCATCTCAACCAAAGGATCACCTGCAAGGGCAACACTGGGCAACGCTGGCAACACTGCTCCTTCGCCAGGCTGTCTTTCCGCTCCAAGCCATGGCTGGCCTACCCAGCCACACCCCAATCAATCTGCTTCACATCACTCGCAGTCACTCGCGACACACAACGTTCCGCGCCTGCCCCAGGCGGCCGTCTTGCAAGGATGCTTTGGTACGGCCCCACAACCCAGCATCCTGCCACCGTGTGATCACCTAGGCAGTAAAGCTTTTAGCGATTCAGTAGGCAGAACGGCGAGATGCATGGCTCACACGACACTTCATGTCAGGTATGTCAAGGCACGGGTGCTCTGCGAGACGACGCGGGCTGCTGCGGTATCTCCTGTGAGGACACCACGGGCACGGTCAAAGCAAACGTGCAGAGTGATTGAAGGCTGGTGGCATCTGTAACCTAGAGGCAGTACTCCAAAAGCGGCTTTCAAGCTCTTCCTGCACGGCGCCCGGCAGCACAGCGTCGTGGGAGCTCGAAGCCCTGCAGACAGCGTTCTGATGCATTCTGCTACTTTTCGCAGTCCCACTTCCGACCACCTGCCACTGCAAGTGAACCGCCCGAACTGCTGGCCTCGCAGAGCAAGGTGAGCATTGGCTGGATTCCGAGACGTCCCAGAGCTCCTCCTATAGGCACGTCATGCAATTTCACACCATGCACGCCGTCAACGAAACTGTCGCCTCAAGTACGAGAGGGAGATCCAACGCGAAGACGCGATTTTTTTAATGTGAAGGGGTATTTCGACGTGCGGCGACAGAGGACAGAGTGATACAGAGTGTCTCATCCGTCGGGGTTGGAGTATGTTGGAGTCCTTCTTGGCCACCTCGTGGACCTGCGCCTGCGGCGTCAGCTAACTCCACAAGGACGAAATAACCGATGTCGGATCCTGCTTTGCGGCGCGCCTTGGGTTCGTGGAGCTCGGTTTGCAGGCTCAGCAGGGCGATGTGCTGCTCCCTCACATGGGCCTGAGCCCGTGCCAGCCCCGCGGGACAGGCAAAGGAAACATGGGCCATGGATCAGCAACATTCAGCAACGCAATGCGTCCTCCTGGTGATATAGGTTATACTTCATCGTGTCACAGAAATTTTCTTTGCGTGTCATGCGATCCGTGTCCGTTTTGCAGGGGCGCCTGAAGGCTGGCGACTGCCTCTTGCAGCTCCGCCACCTTGGCCTCGGACAAGACTCCCCGTGATTGCGCCCCGTTGCGAAAAACTCAGATCCCCCCGCCTGGTGGCAAGCCAACTCCTGTGAGCACTCCTGCACGGGCGATACTCTCAACTCATGCAATCCGGGACTGGACGAAACTACACGAGAGCGCATTACAAATTATTGCAAAAAGTCCGCCAGCAAAGGAGTCAAACTGCCAACTTCCATACATGTGACGCGCGTGCTGCTAAACGCAGCAGTTTCTCCTGAAAAGCGGCTGCTGCGCTTGCGAGATCTTGCTGCAGCTGGGCCTCAACCGTGACAGCTCCGAACGGAGCAGTCTACAAAGCAAGGGTCTGCTACGAGTACCACAACATGACATCGATCAAAGTTCAAAGGCCTTCTCGGCTGCCCAGCAGCTCTCTTGAGCAGCTGCCTTGTCCTGAGCATCTGCCTCCCACACGCAGGCACAAATGAGGCGCAGGTTGCAACTCTGGTGCTGACGCCCCGCGCGCCTCAAGCCGCA